TACTAGTAGTAACAAGAAGCTATTAGAAACAAGTGCCACGCTAGTAGCAACAGGTGCCTTACTAGTAGTAACAAGAAGCTATTAGAAACAAGTGCCACGCTAGTAGTAACAGGTGCCTTACTAGTAGTAACAAGAAGCTATTAGAAACAAGTGCCACGCTAGTAGTAACAGGTGCCTTACTAGTAGTAACAAGAAGCTATTAGGGACACAAATGATTGCCTTTTCGGAGACCTGGAAGCTCCGAAGTTCAGGACACCGATCCCCGGACAGAATACAGACAATTGTGCTGTCATTTCGTTGTGATCGCGCAAAAAAAGGGGAGTCCAAAAAAGGGGCAGAGAACCAAAACTGTGTCCGTCTACATATATACATCAACTTGAGGGGGGGTTCCCCAGCGGTTTGGCAAAAGTAAGGAAGTGAGACCATAGAACCATAAACCTGGGCTGGATGTTCATTCGCATGAGCTCTGTCGATCCTCAATCCACTACCTGGTGCCTGCCCGCTAGATCTTTTCTTGCAAAGTCAAGCAATCTTGGCACGAGCACAGCAACATCTCCGCCTCTTGGCGGGGCGTTGCGAGTTCGTATTTGAGAGACTGAGCACGGCCAAAGCCTTGTCGGGGCGGTTGGTGATCACTCCGTCAACTCCAGCAGAAATCACAGCCTTGAGATGTTCCTCAGAGTCAACTGTCCATGCAAAGACCTTGCCTTGTCGTTCATGCAAGCCGTTCACCGAATGTGGCGTCACCGCGGCATGACGGACTGACACCCCATAGAAGTCCAACGGAACTCCTTGGAGATCTTCTCGCTGCAGCCAACCAGAGGCAGGTGACAAAGTCAAGTAGAGCAGTCGGAGATCCGGTACTAAATGTCGTAGCTCGTCAAGGTACGGTCGATAGAAGGACTGTGCGAGGATTTGTCCAGCTCGCACCTGACCAGCATAGGGTTCTAACACTTTTGCCACCAATCGGGGTAGTTGGGGATAAGCCGACTGATGTACCCACGGCTTCAACGCCCTGGCAGTCCAGGTGGGCAGTCCCGAGAAGGGACCCTTCAACTCAATCAGCAGCATCTTGTCATGCGTCGTAATCAACTCCAAGACCTCCTCATGCATATGCAGAATCATGACCCTGAAGCAGCTGGAAAACCCTCTCACCATCCTCTAGCTCCCATTGCTATGACTTGCCGTCCCACATCTTCCCCCTTCAGGACTTGTTACAAAGTTGCGAAGGGTGGCCTTGCAAATTCGCCGACCACGATGTTTGTATGCCCACCACATCTCCAACCTTCACCCAAAGAAGTCTAATTGCTGAAGCGAGAGAGAGAGAGAGAGAAAGAGCGGGGGGGGGAAAAAGAAAACATCCGCATATTCCTGGCTTGTTGCCAAGTATCGTACCCCCCCGGGTCTATGCCAAAACAATATCCATCTCTTGTGTTGGAGTCTGATTCCGTTTTCTTCCGCTCCTCCAACAAAGGCACCCGCTCATGGGCGAACGCCAGCGAGTGCTTCACCCCTGCATCGGCCCTCTGCAACTGTGCCCATGTCAAGTCCTTCACCAAGCCGGAGGCGTCGGTGGTTCGGTCGACCGTCGCATCGTGAATCACCACCTCAAATGGGCAAGCTTCACCAGGAGACCGCCCCGGAGCAAGCTTGGATCAAATACAAAGGCACATCCAGACTGTTTTCTTAATTTGCTCCGAAACCTTTGCATTTCTTCAGATCCTCAAGCTCTTCAAAAGAAAGAACATGGATATGTCATATTGGGCATTGGCATGGGAGCATGTGTGCGACAAGGGCACCACGTAATCATCAGCTGAAGGATGTACATCCAGCTCGACTCCGTCAGCTCCGGCTTCCAAGGCCGCTCGAAAGGCGGCCAAGGTATTCTCGGGGCGAATTTGGGAAGCACCACGGTGAGCCCAAACCAGCGGTCGCTGAGGCTTTGCCATGGAGCATTGGCCGTTGCTGCACAGCCGAGGGCCTAATCCACTATGCTTATGACGGTTGGGGCTGGGTCGCCAACTAATAAAAAAGTCATCTTGTCAAGACATAAGTGTGCGGGACCATGGGTTGGAGTACTGGGATATCAGGGGTTGCTTGGCGAGGCCTGGCCACATCTGGAGCCGCTTCGAGCTTCTGGGTGTGCGCGAGCTGTTCTAATGCAAAAGCAGCTCTCCCAGTCTTTGGACTGATGGAACTGTGCTGCTGTGCGGCATGGTCTCACACACATAGCCACACATGAATGCAGGGACGCATAGAATAGAATATATATATAATTATATATATATATATTACTTTACTATATTACGCTTATAATATTTCTTCTCACGGCGGAGTTAGTGCCCTCATCAGAATGCATTGATCTTCAAAGGCCCCCCTTCACCATGCATAGTTCTTGCAGGATGAACCCACTGATACGGGATGAAGATGGATGAAGCATGGCATCAAGCCCTAGCCATAGAAGCAAATGTTACCCCAGCTGGGACTTGTGTCCAACTGACACGAATGTTGTCAGTAAGGACACTTCAAAATCTCGGAAAAGAACGGCAAAAGAAAACCAGTTTTGGACAATGGCGCATCCTGGAGGAGAGAATCAGTTCCCTGAAATAACACCCGAACTTGTAGCCTCTATCCTGTGGGGAGATCTACATTGGATCAGACTCTCCCTTCTTTGTCGCACCATACGTCCTCCACGCAATTGCGCTGGTGCTGGCCCAGTGCCACGGGCAGGACTTCACTGCAAAGTAAGTCGTCACCAGAGATTCCCGTTACATCCAAGTGACGTCTCTTTGGCTCACAGCGGCCATCCAAAAAAGCAGCAAATCACATGGCTGCCATGGCCCCTGCCACTCCTAAACCGCCATGTAGACGTACCATGTGTCCAGTGTTCAGTCCATGAATTCCACATGGCTGCAACGTGCAGCCCAAAACTTCTGCCCTTTCTGACCTGCATATTTCAATCCCAGCATTGCACCAAAAAGTGTGCCTCGGAAGCGATTTCACAAACTTTATACAAGATATTACATGATTCCCGGTGATATGACCCCCTATGTGACGTTAAACTCGACCTCATCGGTTGCCATGCACACTTTTGCAGTGCTTCATCAGACGTTTTGAAGCTGCGGCCAGCGTGTTGCGGTTCACACCAGAACTGCATCGAGGGAATTCAGAAACAAAACAAGTCGCTAGAGTCACTTAAAGCAATAGAGCATACTAGTAACTAGGATGGTACACTGTGGCACGAAAAGGCTGTGCCAACTGCATTGGTACTTGGACCAGGCACGGACATAGGCAAATCTATCTCTGCTCAGCTTGCATGTTGTGCCAATGCCTGATTACAGCAC